GCCTCTCATTACGCGTGACTCGGCCGGAAGCTCAAAACACGTAATTGAGCGTCGTACTTCGGTTAATAGACCGCAAGCAAGCAAGCAAGCAAGCAAGCAAGCGCCAGGGGGAGGGGCGCGGCGGCGAGGCGGGAACGGGGTTAATAGAGGCCGGGGGTGTAGGTTAATAGAGGCCCGGAGTTTAAAACGGCGCGCGCTTTTAATTATCGCGTATTGATTTTTAACGTCCGCGGAAGCCCTCGCCAGCCGGACGATAAATTACGGCGCCGCGTAATTTCGCGCGAAGCCTGTCCGGATCCCGCAAATACCAGTCCGCACAAAGCAAACGCGGCCGCGGTTGTTCACAAAGGGCGCGTATATTCTGGGTCAGGGTCTCTCAAACTGGGTTGTATCGTCGTCATTCGCCGCGGCCGCGCTGCATACATCCGGGACGCGCGAAAGCGCCTGGCCGTTCGGAAGGATCTCGCCGCGTCGACTCGCGTCTCGCGGAGAACCACGATCCCGCCGAATTCGCCGTCGTAAAGCCGCGGATAACGGCGCTATTAAGTGCTCGCGTCGATACCATCTCGAGTGACGATCGCGCGGAATTGTCGGCGGTGAAAGAGCCGGCGAGCTGCGCCGGCGACCGGTCCTGTCGGGAATCGAGCAGCTCGCTCGGGGCGCGCCGGAAATCGCCGTGTCGGGCCGCTGGAAAGTTCCGCGTGCGCGCGCCAATTGCGATTACGAGGCATCGTGAAGGGGACTTTGGAGATTCTGCATCGAGTCTGTGCAAATTGCCACACTCCGAACACAAGGTATTAATATTTTCTAATTATGAGAATTAACAAAAAGCTACCGGCCGCGACAAACCTATCGATTCGATCAATGAGTAATTAATAAATAATGCTCAGACTATTATGCCGGTCACTTATTATGTGATCAGTTTCGGAACTCGGCTCGAGTGATCGTTATTACATCGATTTCGAGGTCCAAGCGTGTCTCGTCTCGTGTGTGACCTTTTAAGCTGTGTGAGATGCCACTCGGTTTGTCTGTTTGCCTCGACACGTGATATCAGAAAACAATCTTGCCAAGCAACTGATTCTGGCAGAAACAACTAGGAAAGAGCTGATCTCTAACTGTCAAAAGCTCGCTCTACTGCAATACTACATCTGAAGAGGATAGCCTGTGTCGCAGGCGACCGTTCTTTGTCTAACCTCGTTCTCATTGGAGAAAGCTAAACGAAGATAATATAGTTGCGAACAGTAGAAGGGGATATAACTGTCTTCTATATATCTCGTCTTGAAATCTCTCGAATAAGAAGGCACGGTCTACATATATAAATCTATCCGAGTCGAAGTTCCGGCCTTATCTTCGACCTAAACTGCCTAACATCTATAGGTTCCGGAGGATCGATGGAGATTTCATTTATATGGAAACTAAAGCCCTATTCAGCGCCTCTAAATGACGGAAAACGCATAATTTGCCACTTGCGGGTTCTTGAGAGGACCTTTCGGCGAAGCTGCAGGTTAAACAAGATTAACCTAGGTCGATATAGGCTTCAGAGTATTAAATTAAGTGGAGTACCGAGATCGAAAATTTCGACCCGGAAAAGAAAAAAAAAGAAAAAAACGATTACATGAGCCGAATCATACGTCGGTCGTCAGTCAGTCGTTCGATGTAACGATTACTCGAATCGATTTGAGAAAACGGGTTCAAGGAAGCGAGCGAGCGCTTCATTTCGCGCGCAGCGCGAAAATCTACCCGACACGCGCCGCTTCGCTCGCCACCCTTCTGAGAACCGCTGCCCCGGGCAGGTGCCGCGAGGGTAATAACTACGCCTGCCCGTCAAGCATCGAACAACCGGTGTGTTGTTAAATCGCGCCATTAACGTACTAAGGACGAGTCCCGTGTCACCGGGAGAACGCATTCAGCGGATGAATTGAATGTTTTTGCTGCTCCGAAAACTGGGGTTTGCGAGTTGTTGTTCGAGCCCGCCATTCCGTTTAATCCTTTCGGCTGCTCGGCACCGACATTTTTTTGGTCCGTGGAATGGAAATTGATTTGCTCGCTCGTTTCCGAATAAACTGTCTCGACTAAAATGTTGACGCACGGACAAGTTGATTCGGACGCGCGCCAAGTACCGTACTAAAAATGCGGAGTCATGTTACGTCGCTGCATCGCGAGGTTCCGGAAGAGTAAAACAAAAAGTAGATGTCATCCGATCGAGTAATCGCTGAGAGATTATACGTTAACACGAGAAGCGGACTCTCGAAGCGCCTCTGAGAATTATCGGGAGTACCGTTTACGAGTATCCGAGAGACAGTTACATTTTTATCAATGCTAAGCAACATTTGCATTTTAATAGCGGTTCCCCGAGTATCTTCTTAATCTTTACAACAACGACGCAAAAAGTAACGGGTGAAAATAATCCCACGGATTATTGATCGCGGACGCCGCCGCGGTCGTTGTCGTCGTCGTCGTCGTCGTCGTTGTCGTCGCGCGCGCGATCAACAGCTCCTTCCGAATGCATGAGACTGAAATTGAAAATATGTAGATTTCACGCGTCGCGGTGTAGGCACGTTCGCGGGAAAAGTGCGCGAGCGGCGACGCATTCGCAACCGGCAATCGATCAAATCGCTCCAAAATTGTCGGCGACGGGGGAGGGGGGGGGGGTAAATCATACATTAACCATTCCGGAGTTCACCGCGGCCGGGGGAGAAAGCGAGCGACTTTTCGCGCGGAAACAATCGGCTCGGACGTTTTTCACGTGTATCGCGTGTGCATTATGCAGGTCCGCGCGGACCCGACAGGTCTCCACCTCGAGTTCTCTTCTCAGTCTTCGCTACGAGTTGGCGAGAATTTGGGTCGAAACGGTCGGCAAAAATACGCGCAACGACGTGACTGTCACACGAATCGCGACTGCATTACGGATCAGTTGTAGTAACAGAATTTCTCGCCTGTTCGTCGGCCGAGATGTGGCAGATTACACAGAAACACACACACACGCAAGCAAACGTATCGCGACTCTGTTATAAACGTTAACGAGGGAAAATTATTAGTCCTCTGGATAGTCCGCGCGACGAATGGGGATTTATGAAGGGGCGATTGATTGATCCGAGCCCAGGTCACATATCAACAACGTGCGTTTTTTTCTCAGCAGGATTACCGGCGAGCAGACGCGTCTTCCAGAACAAGCCGCGTCGTTAGGATGCTTTAAATTACGAGACATTTCCCACTGTGTCATTAAGCGTCGTGAAACACGTGAAAAATAGCGCAGCGCGTTGCAATCAACAACGCGCGTCATCGCGCCCTCCTCACCCTTCTCTCTTAACCCAATGAGGCTTAGTGCCATACAATCTGTTACGCGAAAACGGAGCGAAATTAATGTCTTAACGAGATAAAAATGTTAAGACGCGATGCATCGGCGGATATCCGCGTAACGAGCTGCCTTTTTATGGAAATTTCCGCGGGAGCGTATAATCACGCGACTTCGCCAGCTCTTAGAGATTTTAATCGCTGTAATACACTCACGTTATCTCGTGATCATGCTCGAAACGCACGTACGAATAAATTAATAAGCGCACCTGAACGCGCAGGAGCACGGGAGTATCACACAAGTACTCCTCGTCCCCTCCTCGCTGGCCGATCATTTGCAAGATTCTAGCACAATCTTCAGTCACCCATCATCGCCGGGCTATTCATCTTTATCAGCTGCTCGTTACCGCATGTAACAAGGACGCTCGGTCGTGTAGTCATCACCGAGACAGACAGACAGACAGACAGAGAGAGAGAGAGAGAGAGAGAGAGAGAGAGAGAGAGAGAGAGAGAGAGAGGGGGGAGGGAGGGAGGGAAGGGAGGAGGAAGGGGAGAAAAAAGAAGAGAGAAGAAAAAGAGAATTTAAGTCTGTGCAAAGTTCGTCGGGCGGAGAGATCAGGGCCGATGATAGATCTCGCGCGAGCGCGTGGGAATACAGGTGCTGTCCGCCCCCGACAAAATAAGATTTGCGCAAGCGTTGTCAGCCGTGCAGGAAAGTTTTATGTGTGCATAATCCATACTCCGATATATCTTCCGAAATCCTGTTACTGTCAACGGACATAACCGCGTGCGCGCGCGCTCACATATTCTCGCACGTTCCCTTCTCTCTTGCCGGCGGGTTCTCTTTTCTCTCTCTCTCTCTCTCTCTCTCCCCTTCTCTTTCCCTTCAAACCGCTCGTTTTCACCCGTCGCGATCACGGAGGTCTCACGCGATCGGCGTCGCCGTCGCGGGTTCTCGGCTTACGGTGAATATCGCTTGCAACAATAAGTTGATTACGCGCGAGCGGATATTAATCACAGATTAATTGGACGCGTTAATTGGTCGACATACGCCGCTGCGCTTTTTCCGCGATAGGTGCATCCTCGTCTCGATCTTGTGAAGACGCGGCGAAGGAATTTAGATCATAAGCACGGAAATTTTCGCAAATATCACGAATTCTGCCAATATTACACGTAAAATAAAAATACCTGTATAAAACGGAAATAAAAATGGCGAGTCTTTTATAATGGATCTTTTAACCCGTAAGGCTTCCTATTGTGTCGAGGACGAAGGACTGATTGAAATATGAGAAATGTCAATTTTTTCATTGTGAAAATATCCGGAGGAACGGCGGTATTTGAGAAAAATTTTCCCTTATACATACATCGGAGAATGCAGGATTGAAATTTTAGCTCCAACTTCAACCTGAACTGCCTGACATTCTGGAGCATCAATGGAGATTTTATTTATATACAGAAATAAAGTCCTACTTTGAATGGCAGAAAACACACAATTTTCCATTTGTAAGTCTTCAACAGTGCCCTCTTGGCAAAGTTGTAAAGTTAAATGCAATCAAAGAAATCGGCCTAGGCTTCAGCGTATTAAATTAGCGTGAAATAGTATATTAAAGCAGGATCAAAGGCTGCTTGAAGACGCTATCGAAGGATCCGCGAGAGAGGAGTACAGAAGAAAGTACAGTGACACTAAAAACACAATTGCCGCTTACCTGGTGTCACGCTCGGAAACGGCTGTCCCGGCAACGACGGGGGATGCTCGTCCTCGGGCGAACGCTCCGACGCGTAGCCCTGATCCTGCGGCTCACCGCCGCTGGCTAGCTTGCTCAGCTTGAGGTCGACGCACTTGCCGAACTGCTGGCGATGCTTGAGCAGCTCGCAGTCGGGCTTGTGCAACATCAGCTCGTCGTCGTCGCCATCGTTCGGGGCGTTCATCACGATGCACGGCTGCGAGGACGACGAGTTCGATTCGAGGCTCCTGCCGCTGTTCCTGGTATCCTGCTTGCGCTTGGGCAGTGTGCCGACCAGATCAAGGTCCGCGTTTCGGTGGCACCTGTCCTCCATGGGTACACCGCGACCATATCTCCTGCCGGAGTCGCCGAGCACCGTGTCGGCGCTGCGATTTCTCTTCACCGAGTCGAAGTTACCGTGGCGACACCGCACCAGGTCGAGATCGCTTTGCTGGTACCTGGCGATGCGAGAGCGGGGTCATGGGGTTAATTCTCCTCCAGCACGGAGAGATTCGCGTGTTCGTTTCTATCCGGGGAGGGCGAGAGTCGTTATGTACGATACGCGAGAACGATTTTCTGGGGGATACGAGATGCGGAAGGACCGTGGGGCGCACGAAGGACGACTCGATGAGTTCGAGATGGGAAGTTCGTGGAGGCTCGCGTTCGATGCGAGCGAGCGCGATCGATCGACGGAGGCTGAAGTCCGAAGGGACGTTCCCGGAATTCTTCGGATTGCCGGGCCTCCGTAGCGCGCCGATCCTCGACAGTTCCGATGCGCGATGAAATGTCGGGATCGCGTGTAAGTGCGAAGGACGATAGATTCCTGGAATTTATCGGGGATAATTAACGGGCCCTACACGCGGGCGCGCTCGACGTCGCGCGGTATCTCTCCCTCTTTCTTGTTTTTCTCCGCGCCGTCCGCGTCGTCCGGGCAGTTACGAAATTAGACAGTTATACATGGCGAATTGTTTTTACTTAGTCAGTCCTTGCACGTACCTCCAAGGATCGTTCTCGTCTAGGGAATCCTGCGACCGGTGCTTCACGAGGTCCAAAGTGCCGGTTGGCCCGCTGTCGGAGAAATGCACCCCTAACGACCGTTTCTTGTGCGGCAGTGTGCCGCCGAAATTCCCGCCGATAGTATCGGACATGATGTTATTGTTATCTCGCCGATCGTCGTCCAGCGCATCCTTATCGTCCAGGTGATTCGGCAGCGAGCCGCAAAATTTGTACCTGCGGAAAATATATATCAGTTACCTTTGAAAACAATCGTCGAGGAATTGTCGTTGATTTAACGTTATTGGCGGTGGATAAAAAGACATTGCTTGATAATATTTCTATTGCGGTTAGATAATATTTCTAACGGAATTTTATTAAAGAAATTTTAATAAGACCAACAATTGCAATGCTATAGATAGAGGGGATAGAGGGAGGATTGAAATTGAATGGATATTTTCTTTCTTTAATAGAGTTAATATTTTACAATCTCTGAACGTTTACTTTTATTCATGCAAATTTATCGGGAATATCGAAAAGTACATTGGCTGATAGGCGAAGCCGAAAATACATAGAGCGCAGAATAAACTTACAAAAATATTATCTCTCACGAGGTGCGTTATACATTACATCATGTTACATGTTGCATACTACCTCCCTCTGCTTCTTTGCTTTATTTTCATCACAAGCATGAGAGATGAAAGATGAAAGCACCGCGAGAAGGAAATAAGTTTAAAAGGTATGCGGGGCGGCATTTCGCGTAATAAGCTGCCGCCAGAAAGCGTCAAATTTTGTAGGAAAAATGCATTACGGTAATTTACATAATTCGCGGTTCAACGTTTCAGCGTCCGTTATTTCGCGTTATACGCTCGATGGCTACGGTTGCAAACGATCGTTTCGTGTAACCCCGCTAATTCTCGCGTATGTAACGAACCGCGTGAAACGCGACGCGCGCGTAAATTTGCGCGCTTAAGAAGATTACGTCCGTTTAACCAGCGAATGCCATTGTCGCGCTTGTAATATCGGCGCGAAGATTGAAACGAAAAAAATATATATTTACGTCGTATATGTATATATATATATATATATATATGAAAAGTATATAAAATATATATACGTAAACCGCGCACACACACATAATGCGAGGGGGAAATTCTGTCGTGACGGCACGTTCGCGCGTTATATGACATACGTGACACTCGAACAAGGTGAAATCGAGCGCATCGGAATTGCTCGAAAATATCGCCGCGTATGATGTTCGCAAGATATGCAGTGGCTTCTATGCGCAGGAATTGCGATAGAATAAACGTGCATGTATGTACTTTCGAAATACATATCATAAAAGCAAATCTGTTATTCCATTAGGAATAGCAGTTGCTTGAAATTTGTTGTGCGCGTTCTGCCGAATTATAATATAATTAAGATGTACTAACAAATTTCAAAATTTTAAATAAAAATATAATTATTAAAAACTTTAGATAAAAAATATTATTTAAATAATACTTAAGATCGAAAATAAATATTATATATATTTTTTCTGATGTATGCGTTTGCATATATTTATCAAATTTTTTCATTTTATTAAAAATTCGAAGATGTAAGATCGTGATTTTGATATTTCTCTTTTGTATTTCTTTTCTTTTTGTTCTTTATTATTGTTGCCTATGTATTTTATTCTAGTCTATTTTGCTATTATTCTAAGATTATTATTATTATTATTATTGCAACATGAATCAGAAGAAGCTTTATACATTCGACATAGTATCGCGATACGTGGCAACGTTTTATTTACACGACGTTAATAATACCACGTTCGTGTGTCGTCGCGGAATGCTCTGTGCGATGACACGCACTGTACCAGGAAACAGTATAGGAAGCTTTATTAATAATTTGTACGTGACATCATCCGCCGTAGTTCGCTTTCACGCCCGGTGGATAGGCGAATGCCTGCGCAAACCTTCACGGCATGCATAAGCGCACAACCGCGCAAGACATCTAACCTTTCACCGATCTCTACTCTCTTCGACCTCTCGTTGTGTGATATCCCCGGTAGAGAGCTTAAAAATTCTATCTCGTGTTTCCGCTCATGTATGGTACAACGATAAAAATAACACTGTCACACTGTAAAATATAACATCCGATAACTGCAAACGCCACGAGAAACGTAAATTACGTCATATTAAAATTCATGAGTCTTTTGTATATTATTATAAACTTGCGGCATCACCTGACCTTTGACCGTTCCCTTTGACTTAATTTCACCTCTTGCCTCTCGTGACGCATAAAAGATGTACTTTCCCAGTGCAATATATCGACAATAGAAATTCGAACAAGACGCGACACGCGCACTCGCTGGTCACTCGGTTAAAATTAAATTTTAATCAATAGCGACTTTTGTCATAATTTTATATCTGGCCGAGGGTTAAAATTAATATTTTATATCTTTGCACATATCTTATCGTGCTTTCAAATATGACGCGAATAAAATATTGTATTGTGACGACCCGCAGACTCTGTGCTCGCAGAGAGAGATCACGTTCTTTTGCGCCCGTGAAGAAAACCGAGTTTATCCCTTTGCGATAATATATAATAATAAATGAAAAGAAAGAGACGGTATCCTCAGACTCGGAGTAAACGAACGGCAAACGGGGTGGCGATTCGAGCGCGTATTACCGGCATTGTTGCTGCCGCGTTAGACAACAGCACTTATGCAAATGAGATCAGGAAACGCGCCGGCGCCTTTTAATATCCTTGCAGGCTGCTCTTTTATTTATTTCCGCGTGCCCTTATCCCTGCCCGAGGGTTCTCCATTCCCTTCCGACCTACCTACATATCGTCCACGTGTAAAGGAGGGTTTAATGGAAGCCGCCCCAGTTCAGCGACTGGCTGACCTTAGAGGTACTTTAAATTATCTCGCGGCAACTTGTTACTACCGGAGGCGCCGCGACACACTGCCAGTTGCTCCGTTGCAGCCGCCGTGAGAGAGCGAGAGAAAGAAACAGAGGGAAAAAGGAGAGGGACGAGCAGACCATGCGCCCAGGAAACGCCGATGCAGGCAGGTCTTTCTGTTCTTACAGCACCGCTGCGAGATCCAGGGGCAATCTTCGGGCTGCTGAAGTTCGCCCCGTCGCGGTTTTACTTTAAACGCGAGCACACCGGCGCGTGCTTGATTCAGTTGTTACCGGAGGCGAACCGCGAGCGAGATCGACACGCCGGGATTTTGAAACTTGCGCGCGCGAGAGAGACGCGGAGCGGAAAAAGCGAAGGCGATGAGTTTTGTTTGCGTTCGTTCTCAGAACCGAGATATTCGACCGAGATATCAACTCAGACGCGTAAAGTCTGAATAAAATACGATAACACCTCGAGCACGTGGATAACGAGAGATGCATTTTGAAATGCACGGCGAAAAACGACACGAAAGATTAATTAGACGTACACAGGCAGTCCGCGAATGCTGGATTAAATATCGCGCGTCGGTGACTTAACGAACGGCGGCCGCGAGCTCGGCGCGCGCGCGCGCGCGAAGCTCATTAAAGAGAAATTAACAAGACTTCTACCTCGGACGGATTTCTATCACTAATAGTCCTCGATGGGAGTACGCGCGCGGCTGGCAATTGCCTACGGTAAGATCGCGGTGAGAGAGAGAGAGAGAGAGAGAGAGAGAGAGAGAGAGAGAGAGGGAGAGAGAGAGAGAGAGAGAGAGAGGGAGAGACGGTCTCGGTCTCTCTTTACTCTAACCCGTTATTACGAAGGACGCGCGAAGAAAAACGAGGAACGGTAGATGGGAAGGAGGGGGGAGAGCGAGATGCAAATAATTATTAATTTAGTAACACGACGAGGCGGTTGCGAGCGCGCGCGGGCCGGCTCGTTTTCTGCCAATTTATCACCGTCATTTATCACCGTTATCACACGGTCAGACGTAATTCACCTTCGGATTAACGATCTCGACCATTCGCCGGGGCGCCTACATGGCCAACGGCCTGCCGGTTGGACGAGCGGCAGTAAAGGGATATTAGCGGCATACGTGGTATCATGTTTTCACACGGTAACCTTATTGTTGGTTGACCGTCTTAGACGGCTTAGGCGAGTCAGCACACAGCATTCGACTGTGCATTCGATGAGGAACCCGATGAGGCAGCTGATACGACGAGGAATTTTCTCGCGTTGTGACATTCTCACGTCCTCCCCTCTCCTTGCTCTCTCTCTCCCTCTCTCTTTCTCTCTTGTGAAGATTCTCCCGGTAACGGAGCTCGCGCGTCTCCCGTTCGGATTTAATTAGCACGCGTTTCCGGTCCGGGGCTTCGTCGCTTTGTGTGTGCAGTCTCTCAGTCAGGACTAAATGTAGACACTCCTGTGATTTACACGAAGATATCGATCCCTAATCCTCCGCGGAATAATGGGGGGGACGATCACGGGGGGGGCTCTACATCGTTTGATTTGCGATCGATCTTCAGCGATCTCGCGCGAGATCGGATTCTTCTTCGTTCTTTCTAATCTGTTTCACCTTATTAAGGAGCCCGTCCCGCTAATTGGCTCCGCTAAACGAACGCTTTCCTCAACGGCTCCACCGTCGGGTGTTGGAAAATTATCACGCGAAATAATATCGCCGCAAACTGCGGATCACAAATCGGATAGAACAACACAATCGTGGGTATTAACAATGTTAACCCGAGGACCGACGTGTTTGCACAACGTCGCTTTTGTTACGACGCTCGGGGATATTCCCCGAGGTAATTATACGAGTTTCCCGCAATAATATTTCATTTCGACGAACCCGCGAAGGGAATTTGTTCTTCGCGACTTTTGCGATAAGAGAAAAGACTCGAAGGTAAAAAAGTTGAAAGTAAAAGAGGTAAAAAAAAAAAAAAAAAAAAAAGAAAAGAAGAAAGAAAATAAAGCATCTTCTAATTAACGCGTCTCCCGACGTTGTTCCGTTCTAGCGAAACGAAAATACGACGAAGGTGCGCGGTAACGTTTCAACTTTCGAAGATCTGCCTATTTCGTCGATGCTAGGAGAAACGAGTCGAGCACACCGTGCTCGTCCACACTGTGGAGCCTGAGAGACTCTCTCGGGAGAGACTGAGCCGTGGAGCGTCGCAAACTCCTGCGAGCGAATTTGCTCTCGAGGGACTCCTTCGCGAAAAGATACGCGTGGTAAACTCAATCCTTTTTTCGACGGACAAAGGCCGCGGGCGGAGAAGCTAAAGACTAGGAGGGATTTAATTTCTTATCACCGCGTGGGAATCGTGGGTAAAGACCAGTTCACACCGATAGCGGGCAAGAATGACTGAGAATTCCGTCAAGTGGGAGTTACCCTCCTTCCTCGTACTCGTCGTGCATTAGACTGGCGCAGTGCTCAGAGGAACGAGAGGAAGAAACGGCCGATTGTAATAATAACATCATCAATTCGTTCTTTCCTCGTAATATTGGGGCGAGCGAGAGTGCGAGAGGGCAGGAGGAGAAGGAGGAGGAGGAGGACGGGCGGAGAGGGGGCGGGGAGAAAAGGAGGTAACGATGCTACGGATAGATTGGCGCCGAGCGAGAAAACTCTCGATCGTGAATTGACCTTTTCCGCGGCGTGCTGCAACACGACTCTCCCCGTGGTAGCGTTTCACTAGCTTTTCGTGCCGTTGAAAAATTAACAGGCCGCGAGGCGGGCATCACAAAGAGGCCTCCACTAATCTCGCGCCATGAGAAGAGCGTGATCGGAACACCTCGCGTCCTCCTTCTCCATACGGTAATATTGCATGGTTCTTAATCCCGTCTTCCCGTGTACACGAGGCCGACTTCGCGTCTCTACTCCGTGTGTAACCTCGGCCCGGCTTTAATCGGACTGCGATCTGATTTCGTATTTATGAACGGCGTCTGGCTCTACAATCTCGTACTTCCCGCTCGGAAAGTTGCAACGCGAGCAGAAAAGATTACGAGCATCCTCTTACCACCACGTGCCAGCGCCCGTGATAAGAAGTTACTCGAGTAATTAAGCGAGCCAAATCGCACGATTTAGCGCGCTCGAATCGCACGAATAACGCGCCTCGGAATAAACCAGCGGGAAAAAAAATATACATATACATACACACATCGATAACAACACACAGGGCTGAAGCGTGTTTCGAGAGCGCGCAACAGGTTAAAAATACCATATAAATGCAATTCCCTTCATCGAGGGTGAAAAAGCACGTTGAATGGGAAGCCGAAAAATGCAAGATCGCGCGCTACGAGTCGGAGTGCCGCGAGATAAAAGCGTAACGACAGTTCGTAGCGAGATAAAAAAAAAGCGTAACGTCGTTCTACCGACCTTTCCCTCTGCGCGCTGGAGCAAGGCACCAGTATCTTGCCCATGCTGTTGAGCTTGCCCTTAGGGTCGCAGAGATTCCCGGAGGATTGAGTGCGCCGGCCGGTGAGGCCCTTCCCGTTGTGCCTGCTCAGGTTCGAGCCCATTGTCGACTGCTCGGTCGCGATTGGCTTCTTCGCTTGCTCGTCCTCGCGTCGATTCACGGCATTTCCGGGAGTGTTCTCCTTGTTCGGCCAGTCGAAGTACCCGCTCACATCCTTGGCATTGACCCTGCACGATATCGGCGGCGGGGGTGGCGCCGGCCGGTTCCTCTTGCCGCCGGAAACGACCTGCAACTGCGGCCGACAGCCGCGCCGGCGGTTGCTGGATTGCGGCGACTCGTTGTTACTCACCGACAGCCGCTGCACCTTCCAGCCCTCTTGGCCACCGCTGGTGGACGGCACCGTCACCACCTCCTCACCTGCAACCGTGTAAACATCCGATGAAAACGCGCTGAGGAAGCAGTGTCTGTTGCGTTTGTTGCTGTAATCGCACGGTGACGGGACTATAGTCGACAGAGCCACTTTTACGTTCGTTAAACGATCGTTAAGGAGGAAATTACAGGCCGTGCTTAAGGTTATTTCTACGAATTTTTGCGAATTTTCACAGAAACGATAAGATCAATGGATCGGAAATTTTCACAGTGTATTCATTAACGTTCGAAGTATAAGGATAAATTTGTTACTATCTACGACATTTTGTTAAACTGTCGACACGCAAAACTACTGAATCGAATAACTTGAAGTTTTTACACAATATACAGTAGACATGTAGTTTTTCGCCCTTATACCTCGAACACAGTTATATCTTATTTTATTCATTTTTTTAAACATGATTACAAGTTGGAAAAAGTTTCATTTTCGATTTCTTTTTGTACAGTCATTATTTTTCCAAATCTGACACAGTTGAGGCCGAAGACGACCATAATTTTAATAACATTAACTATTTTATTCTCTCAGTGCGACCGTGTCGGTCGTTCCGCTGCGCTACGGCAAATTTTACATCTCTTCCTCCTTCCCCTCTCACTTTTTTCTCTCTCATTCAATGTCTGATTCTTATGAAACCAACGTCCTGTTTCATACTCCCTTTTATTTTTATTTTTTGTTATATAATTATGTTTCCTTTCTTTTCTTTTAGAACTATTTTTCAGTATTCAGTAATCTGTATATTCCTTTCTCTTGCCGTAGCGCTCTTAGCTGGTAGACTCTCTAGAGTGACAATAAACGCATTTATCTACCTATCTATCTCTCTCCTTCTCTCGTTTTCTCTTCTCTCTTGCAGAATACGCTTGCTCGTACACCCGCAATTTCGTAGCAAACGGCACGCCGCGAAATTGCGCCCGGCTTTGGCTGGGAGTTTCCTTTCCGTTTTCAGCTCTCACTGTGAGCTGCACAGTGCGTGCGTGCGTGCGTGCGTGCGTGCGTGCGTGCATGAGCGGGTATGTTTGACTTTAGAGCGGCGCGCCGCATCGCGAAGACACCGACGGGATATTATTAAAAAGCCGAGACGACCTCGTGTGACTCGCCGCCGATATTTGGCTCACAATGCGGCGTTAATTCCGCAATTTGTTATTGTCCAGATGTATGTTCGCGGGTAGCTGCGATGTTTGTTGCGGAATTGCGCATTACCATGGCTGTACATCGCCCGCGTGGGTTAACATTGCATTATGAGCTGACCGTTCAAATATTAACACAGGTCTGGATAATCGGACCAAACGAAACTGCCAACGCCACAGCCCTTCGATTGTACTCGCGCTGTCCCTCCCGTCCGTCTCGCCCGCATTTATCGGAGTCACGAGACTTTGTATCGGGCTCTTTAATGGGGGCACGTCGTGTCGCACGGCGGTGAAGATCATATCGCGCGTCCCAAACGCGGTTGCGCAAAGTGCCGGGTGTGTCGCGTGTCGGGACACGCTTGATTCGTGGGGCACGACGGTGCGATTTTTCGTTTTGCGCGCCTTAGCCTCGGGACTGTCGTAATAAAGTCAAGTTGGGAAGGCCGGGTAGGGTGCGAGGCAAAGAGAGAAAAATACGGAAGCTTCCTTATGAAATAGTGACATGAAACTTGGCCGCGGGATCCGCCGCGTGACGCAACTGCGCTCTAAACAGTCAGGCCGCTGCATTTATACTTGAGTTTCTTGGCTGCCACTTTGGGCTGCCCTTTTTGCGAGCGAGACGAGAAATCGGGGGGAGGGGGACTGAAGCTGTAAATCGCTGTTTCTCGCTGTGACGCGATGGATCGGCACGAGGTGTGCGATGCTATGATCCTCGTGTTAAGCAGCGGTGTCAATTCGCGCGTCTGACTTCCTCGATGCCAGCGGTGTCTCACGACGATGATCGATCATCGCCCATGATCTCGCGTGTCTACGCTGCATCGGAGATTGATGCGCGTCGCGAAGAACAGGGAGTGTCGAGTAGATTTGGACGGTCAACAGTACGCGCGGTTCTAGGCAAACACAGCTTCGCTGTGCTACGCCGCTTGAAATATTCAGAAATTTCTTCACTTACGTGATGTACTTTCCTCCATGGTTTCTCCATAGCTGAAATATTAGCATAACGGCTTGTAAACTGAAGGGGAGACCGGGAACGAGAGGTTTTTAGGCAAGTCGAACTCTCGAGCCGGAGAGAAAGGAAATTTAACGCTCCCTACAACTTTAATTGGATTTCATCCTAAGAGGATTTTAATTTCAGGGTCGATTACGAAGATATTTAACGCTGGAAACTGACAAATTGCGAAAAACTGCGATCTCTCTCTCTCTCTCTCTCTCTCTCTCTCTCTCTCTCTTCTCTCTTTCGTCTCTCCTTCTCAATGGAGAAGAATCAGCTTTGTTTTAGTCCGAGATTCTTTCGGTGTAGTGATTTACTCGCGCGAAACATTAGCCGACTGACTCGGAAAATAGCCGGAAAATTTCGCCGTTCGATAACTGCAAAATACGAGTCGCGCTCGCGCGACTGTTTTGTAGTGTTATGTTTTACGTTCTACCGATTCACCGCAGCGTACCGAGGTCCGAGTCACTAATAACTACGGCGCACGAGGCGCATTGCATAACTGTATTATTAATGCGGCCGGCATGCATGCACGTGCATCGCGCGCATTCAGCTCCACGCATCTAGCGAGCGCAGCTGGCCATCGAAACGCCACGTTCATATCGCGGTCGCTTGTTGTGTCTACGAGCGGAAAGTTTTAATTCGACGCGAGCGAGAGAGAGAGAGAGAGAGAGAGAGAGAGAGAGAGAGAGGATCGACGTCGGTGGTCATCAGCGCGTTCGTCGCGAAAGAATGAGAGCGCCGGTGTACTCTCGGCCGGACGAGTCGTAAATTACAACGATTCGTTCTCGCGAAAGCAAAACGCTCTTCAGCCAGCGAGTAGCGTCGTACTTCTGCGAGTCTGCAAATTGTGGAATTTTAGCGGAGAAATTACGTCCACCCTGCGAAAAAACCCTGCGCGGGTTATCGCGAGCATTGCGATGAAGAAAGGTTGTCGAATAAAAAAGTTTCGTTTCTTCTCCCCGATTATACGTCTTAAGTATTTAATTACCCTTGCCCCTCGTGCGAGATTACCCAGACACTCGTGCGAGAAAACTTTCTTTTTAATTCGAGATATGGAATGTGCCGCCGCGCTGCGCCGTTTGTCGCTCCCACAAGCGGAAGATTGTAATTCGAGGAAAGACTCGGTCATTAACACACGAGGAGAAAATGCCTGGGAGTCATACTTCGCATGCTTGTACTTGATTTCTTGCGAGAAAGTATTACGCTGGCGATTCCGTGGTTATCGGGACGATCAACCGTTAACGGTAATCGCATTAGTTCGCACATCCGGCGAACATATTCGTTAAAGTGCGGATAAAACGTATCGCGTCGAGCTGGCGTTTGGAACAGAAAGACCGGTCGTTTGTTTAAACAATTATTAAAATATGTTCTAAGCAGCGCACACCAACGGAGCCCGAGTCTCTTCCAAGGAAAGAGAAAGAGAAAAAAAAAAAAAACAAAAACATGCACCGCACTCCGTCTCGTGCGGAATGTGTAAGAATATTTCCAAACAAATTTGCAAGTGTTCTAAATTATTCCCTCTGAATGTCGTCTCGAAAGTATTTTCTAAAGCGACACTCTGCGCTCTTCGCGGCAGAGTAACCGGCTTCGTGTAAATATTATCTCTATCTTCAAGTGACGTAATCTGGCCTCGCCTCGAACGTCTCCGTAAAATCCGCGAGCTTTATCTTACCGACTTGCTCGCACATCGGGCGTATTTTCTTTGCATTATTCGCGGCGGTTCCACCCCACGTGTACATATACGAGCCATTTCGGCCAAAGTCGTTGCCACAGCCGTTCGGTTAGTCCGCGCGAGACCGTCGCTTTATACGGCACGATCGAGACAAAAGTCGAACATCAGCTGCAACGTGCACCTTCTGAGAAGAGCTTCAAGCAGCTCTCGCAGGAAGGATCGCGCGTTCCCGTTTTGCGGCGAGTGCCGCGATGTCGGGGAGTGTCGCTTTTCCCGGGGCTTGTTTCACGAAAGGCGACGAAAGGAGCAAGCGATTATTTGGCTTAATACGTGGTCCTCGGCGCGGCATGTCGTTTATCTCGCGTACGAGTTCACCGCGCACGCGAGATCACCGTTGCGCCGGTAATTGCGTCTCACCGGTGCGTGACGCATTTATAACGCGCGCGTTCGCAATAGCGTCCAGCGGAGAGAAAGATACACGTATCCGGTGGAAAAAAAAAGAGAAGAGAGAGAGAGAGGGGGGGGGGAGAAAAAATCCTGCTTCGATGTAAAGTGCGGCGCAGGAGCGTGCGTCGAACGTTAGAGCTAGAGGCGGAAAATCCTCTAACAATTTGCTCCCTGGGAAAAGATTACATATTGCAAAAAAAGAGATAACGCGCCGGCGGGGTGGTTGTTCGATTGTTATTTCGTTCGGCGCAGTGGCTTTTAACAAAGGGACGACGCTTTTAACGGCAACTAACCGCCGCGCCTAACTCGCCTCGTCCGTTATCGCGACGATATCGCGAAACGATTCCTGCCTATCGAGCCGCTCTCTCTCTCTCTCTCTCTTTCTTTCTCTTTGTGTACCAGCTGCAAAACGATCCTGCTATTGGCTATTATCGCGTAACGCGACCGCACGTAGTGCGCACACCACTTAAATCACTGCCGACGAATCTGACGAGAGCAGGAATTCATGTCAGGCACCTAATTTCGAAGAAAGCGCCGGGATTTTCCCGGGGAATTTACAAACAAGGGCTTCCCTGCCGAAGCGCTCTCTCGACGCACGTCGGGAGGATTTCTATTGGGAAAAAATCGGTTCTATCCTGGGCAGGGGCAGGTTTGGGCAGGCAGGTAAAAAATGCTGCGATCGACAAACGTGCAGCAGCAACAACGTGGGTGCGCGCGAAACGTGTATTTTCCTGTTATTTTCCCGCTGGGATC